GGCCCCGCGGGGCCCGCGGGGTGAACCCCGTGGACCGTGCATCTCTGTATTGAACAACGCATGTTTTCCAAAGTTGAAGAGTACAAACGATTAGATTACATGAAAGTAAAAAAAAACAAGAGCAACTACATAATCCTATTCTCCAGTTATTACTGAATGATTATTTTCATAGATATTATACTCGAGTCGAACACATTTTTTTGTCACATACATAACATACTTAGCATACTCTAGATATTCGTGAGCGTAAAAAAAACTTATTTGATAAAAAATGCAGCAATTCTGTAGAACAAAAAATTCTCTATCGAATAACTTTCTGAAAGTGTATCTGAATGTTCGAAAAAACAAATTATATGTGATTCGTTGGATCGGCACTACTCATTATTAACAATTCGATTCTTTATCAAAAACTTTTATCTTTTTCATGTACGTCAATATTACCCATGGATATAATTCTCACCTAAAATGTTAAATATTCATGCAAACAAATAGCATTTCTACATCTTTTATCTAACATAAGTTCCTTCAGATAGACAAAATTGAACATATTTTGTAACACTAGGTAGTGATGATCTAGTTGATAATGTATGATGTGATTGATATTGATTTATTTTTGATAATCGTGTTTTGCTATTACTATCAGAGATAAATTGTTCTTTGTCAAAATATATTCTGTATAATTTCGTTTGCGAAGAATTTCTTCAGCTAATCGTTGTGTTTGTATTAGTACAATCAAAAGAGCATAATGACCAAATGAATTTATAGATGAATGATCTTGTGCCAAAACACAAGAAAATAATTTAGCTGATGTTAATGACCAAAGATTCTCAGCTAATTTATCAATTTTTCCTTCATTATTCGATTCTGACTAACAACGAATAAGTATAATTCGATCGAGTAATGTTGTCTATATGAAATATTTTATTTCGAAAAAAAAAATACACAAAACAATCATAATATTTCTTACTAAAGTAATTATATAAATATCTTTATCAGCTATTCGTATAATAGTAGTAAAATTATTAGAATTTTTCCATTTTCGATTTTTATAACCCAGTAATATAATTGGAGCATTTTCATTTTGAAATCCATCTAATTTCCAATTAAATGGTGATTTTTTTTGATGACATCGATTGTGAATTATCTTCACGATTAATATTAAATTTTGATTTAATAAAATGTTCTTGATTATCTGTTTTAAATTGTTCAATAACAGTTGTTATACTTGGTAAATGAGACATAACTGTTGGTGATGTTAATCTATTACTTGATGTTGGAATAGTAGCTAATGAACCACCAGCTTCATCATATTTTTCTTGTTCGAATTTTTTACGTTGTACGAAAATTTTTTCTATAATAATAAATTTTCAAAATAAAAAGTAGTTAAATATTTCAATACGTTGTGCTTGTCGTCGTCGTTTTTCTAGATCATCATTAGTTTCACTGAATAAATTAAAATATCGAGTTAATGGAATAGTTATGGATATGATTCCTTCAGTTTTTGTTTCTTTATACCATTCAAATTCAATTAAATCCGAAGATGCTAATATTTGATCTTCACTTTTTAGAACTTTTCAACAAAGCATATATAGATCAAAATAAGAAGAAAGTGGAAAAGAAATAGTTTCATACCAGTCATACATCGAATTAGTTCATTATTGAGCGGTATAATACAAACTCGTGGTGGACGAAATAAATAAATTTTAGATGTTTCTATTCGAAATATTGATGAATGTTCACTTGTATATATATGGAATATGAATCTAGTTTATGGACATTGATACTATATAAAATGCAACACACGTTATCCTCGAGCACTTTTTTTTGCAAGTCTGATTGGACTTGCAACGTCGCTTCTCCTTCTTTTTCGATTTTAATATGAGTGGATACCAATACATGTTAGGACATTTACTAGCCTAATTCCAGTTTCTTCTATAATACTTTAACAACAAACTGTTATCATAATTCCTTAGAAAAAAATATTTTATATGACAAAATAAACGAAGAAAATCGTTTAGTTCCATTGATTGAAAAAAATTTTTCGAAATTGGATAAGTATCATCTTTGTTAATTATATTGACGTTGAATTGTATAAAAGATCGAAGATTCTCTATTATGTATCTAAAAGGTCAAATGTTCTCGTAGTCTCATCGATGATTCTTGGTTTCAATTGATTTCCGTCCATTGCATCGTTAGTAAACTACCTTATTTCATTGATCCCATGATCTTATAAGGGGAAGGAAGCATATAATATTCTGTGAAAAAAAAGCAAGGAAAACAATCGTTGACGAGAAGAGTGTTCTTAGAACAATACAGTCAACATACTCTAAAATAGTGACATTCTCAAACTATAACTTGAATGAATACAGTTGCCTATTTCAAAAAATATTTTCGCATTTTTTCCTGAAAAGTGCTGTCACTAAATATAGGATTATTTTTGGGATCACATATGTATGCACCAACTCCTCCAAACAAGTTTAATACACAAGAAAAAGTTTTGTATATGCGCAATATTTTCTGTGTCCAACTCGTTAATATGAAAATATGTATGACATCCACCCTAGTCTATTGAGTAAACTTTTATTTAGATTAAGATCGTTAGTTACGCATATTAATTTGATCAGAATGAATGACACGTCGATGTTTATCATCTGTTTATTCTCTAAGATTCAATTATTAAATTCTACGGATCTTCTGATGTTTGTATTTATTTTCTTTCTCGCTGATTGTTATTGTCTCTCTTAAATATGGAAAGATCAAAAACGAAAATCAAATTTTTCTACTGGATTTACGAAATCTTAAAAATGAAATAGCCAATAAATCTGTAAGCTTTTGTCTTCACAAGAAAAGAAGTCTGATATAGTTGAAATTGTTTAGTAATGACTAATTGAATTTTAAAGAAATAGAAATGCTTACTATCATGGACAACTTGTAAAATTTCGAATGGATAGAAAAGAACAGCTTCTACAGAAATGACACTTAACGATTGTGTAATACGAAAAATAGCATAAGAAATATTATTATATGTTTCTATAATTGTTGAAATATGAATTAATGAATCCATGATACGTTCTAAATCGATCAACATTATTTAGAGAAATTTTTATTTTTTTTGACTAAAAAGAAATTTGCTACATCGAATATAAATTTGTTATTGTGATTGTCTCGATTGTGGTGATGAATTTATTGATTTTACTTTATAAGGTACAGAAAAACAAGGTAATGCTATTGTTAATTGATCAATAGAAGTAATTGCTCGTTTAAATTCAATATGAAATATATATGAATATTTTTCACATACATTGTAATTAGTTTGTGATAATAAATGTTTTGAATTTTCTGTACATACAATGGTTAATTGATAGTTTGAATATGTGTTGATGATTAAAATGATTGTGCTGCAACATCATCATTAATGAGAATATTCGATTTAGTAAAATTATGAAATTCGTTCGATTGATTATCGATAATCTTGTTTTTTTTT